CAACTGTCACGACCGTTGCCAGCGCAAGTATCACTCACATATTTTGTGGTTTGCATGTTGCAGGATTGTTCTGGCCTTGCATTGCTGTTAGATACTGGTCACTCACTCCTGCAAGCTATTACAGTAGTTATTAGTAGTAAGAATACTTAGGAAGCTAGGAAGTCCTCTCTCAACGTGAACAAGGAATAGGGTAATAACCAGCAATAATTGATACTTAAATCCAGAAAGGGCAATAAGTAGAGAGAGTAGCATTTCTAGGAAAGACAGTTGGAACAGAGAGGTATAACGGATCTTTAAACCACACCATCTACCCCCCCCTAACCATCCCTTTCACATACACACAACACACAGTAGGGACAGCGAGCGCGCTAGTCACGCTTCCGTGCTCCGGGAATATAAGTGTTTTTGAGGGCTACCTAAGTGTTCTGCAAGGGTTACTAAGTGTGTCAGGGTAGTGAACAATCCTAGAAGTGATTTTAAATCTGCCTGAACCTCATAAGTGTGGGGAGAGCCACAATTTTGTAAGTGATCTAGAAAATAAAAACGTTGTGGCGCAGTGGGCAGGCTAGTGTGTAAGGCAACGTTGTTAAGTGTCACCCAAGAAAGATAATAAAGTGAAACAATCGTGTGACCAGTGAAAGAAATACAGTGAATAGGGTACATTATTAACGAGAAGAAATTGAGGTGGATCTACGCCAGGACGTACATCGAGCTGGATCTACGCCAGGACGTCACATCGACCTGGACAATCTACAGTGCTACAGCTGCACTACAAGTACTGTATCACCTATGAGTGGTTGTTTGGGTGTGGGGTTCCAGGTTCCAATTAACCGCCAAGCTGAATGTGAATGGTCTAACTCTCATAGCACAATAAAGAATAGGCACTCAAGTATTCAATAAGGTTTAGCAAATGATAATCCATTGAACAAGGCGATTAACTCACTATAAGCAGGTTGAGCATAGGCAACACTGTAAGGGTGGGAGTCAGGTCACAAGAGGTTGTGGACACAAGCGACAACTGAGAATCTACATTACACTCCAAGCACAAGCCACCTACTTTTCAGACACATAATAAACCCACACATAATTCGACACATAATTACACACACACACAAACGCACACACACACACACACACACACAATATATACACACACATACACAAACACACACACACACACACAACACCACACACACACACACACACACACACACACACACACACACACACACACACACACACACACACACACACACACACAGTACTGTAAGTATGGGCGGTAAGTCCCAGGAGGTTGGGGGTCAGGTCACAAGAAGGTGTGGGCAGCCAAGGACCACTGAGACTTACATTACAACGCACAAGCCACCTACCTTTCAGTACATAATAAACCCACACATAATTCCACACAAAATTACACACAAAATTACACACAAAAATTACACACACACACAAATACACACACAACACACACACACACACATATCCAGACACATACACTCCCCCCCCACCACTGACATCTCACTATTTCCCCTGATCCCTCCCCTCCCTCGATCACCCTCCCCTCCCCCGTTCACTCCTAAAACCCTCCCCACTCCGCTCCCACATAGCCACAGTTCCTCCACTACTTCCCCCCCCCCACACTCTGACATACACACTACTAACCTAACATACAGAACTACATAGGTTCCACACTCTGAGGCAATCAGGATAAAACAAAAATGGGTTGCCAGAGAGCAACAAGAAAAACCAAGGGTCAGGAGGAGGAAACTGCAAAGGAAGATTGGGCAGCAGAGCTCATAAAAAGGGATCATGAATGGGAAAAGAAACTAGAAGAACTTAGCATGAGAATGGAAGAGAGGATAGATATGGAAAGCAGGAAGTGGGAGGTGCATGTCAAAGCAGCAGAAGCTAGGATACAGAGTTTAGAAGAGGAATTTAAAAATCTGAAACAGCCTAAAGAACTAAAGAACATTTTGGGATTGACAACAGAGACTGCTACCTCAGCCACAAATAAGGGGACTGTAGGGAAAGAAGGGGCACAACTGCATGGAGAAGCTCTATCAGAGGAGACTGTAGCAAATGAAAGAGCTAAGCTTTATGTGGAGGCCCTAACAGACTACAACAGAGCCCAAGGAAAGCCGAGAAGGGAAAATGACAGTCCACTGAGCCCAAGTACATTAGCCAGTGAAACTGATGAAGGCAAAGGAGACAAAAGAGAGTGCAAAAATTATAGGGGGATAAATCTGTTGAGTATACCTGGTAAAGTGTATGGTAGAGTTATTATTGAAAGAATTAAGAGTAAGACGGAGAATAGGATAGCAGATGAACAACGAGGCTTTAGGAAAGGTAGGGGGTGTGTGGACCAGGTGTTTACAGTGAAACATATAAGTGAACAGTATTTAGATAAGGCTAAAGAGGTCTTTGTGGCATTTATGGATTTGGAAAAGGCATATGACAGGGTGGATAGGGGGCAATGTGGCAGATGTTGCAGGTGTATGGTGTAGGAAGTAGGTTACTGAAAGCAGTGAAGAGTTTTTACGAGGATAGTGAGGCTCAAGTTAGAGTATGTAGGAAAGAGGGAGATTATTTCCCAGTAAAAGTAGGCCTTAGACAAGGATGCGTGATGTCACCGTGGTTGTTTAATACATGTATATTTATAGAAGGGGTTGTAAGAGAAGTAAATGCGAGGGTCTTGGCAAGAGGCGTGGAGTTAAAAGATAAAGAATCACACAAAGTGGGAGTTGTCACTGTTGCTCTTTGCTGATGACACTGCTCTTGGGAGATTCTGAAGAGAAGTTGCAGAGGTTGGTGGATGAATTTGGTAGGGTATGCAAAAGAAGAAAATTAAAAGTGAATATAGGAAAGAGTAAGGTTATGAGGATAACAAAAAGATTAGGTGATGAAAGATTGGATATCAGATTCGAGGGAGAGAGTATGGAGGAGGTGAATGTATTCTGATATTTGGGAGTGGACATGTCAGCAGATGGGTCTATGAAAGATGAGGTGAATCATAGAACTGATGAGGGGAAAAGGGTGAACAGTGCACTTAGGAGTCTGTGGAGACAAAGAACTTTGTCCTTGGAGGCAAAGAGGGGAATGTATGAGAGCATAGTTTTACCAACGCTCTTATATGGGTGTGAGCATGGGTGATGAATGTTGCAGCGAGGAGAAGGCTGGAGGCAGTGGAGATGTCATGTATGAGGGCAATGTGTGGTGTGAATATAATGCAGAGAATTCGTAATTTGGAAGTTAGGAGGAGGTGCGGGATTACCAAAACTGTTGTCCAGAGGGCTGAGGAAGGGTTGTTGAGGTGGTTCGGACATGTAGAGAGAATGGAGCGAAACAGAGTGACTTCAAGAGTGTATCAGTCTGTAGTGGAAGGAAGGTGGGGTAGGGGTCGGCCTAGGAAAGGTTGGAGGGAGGGGGTAAAGGAGGTTTTGTGTGCGAGGGGCTTGGACTTCCAGCAGGTATGCGTGAGCGTGTTTGATAGGAGTGAATGGAGACAAATGGTTTTTAATATTTGACGTGGTGTTGGAGTGTGAGCAAAGTAACATTTATGAAGGGATTCAGGGAAACTGGCAGGCCAGACTTGAGTCCTGGAGATGGGAAGTACAGTGCCTGCACTCTGAAGGAGGGGTGTTAATGTTGCAGTTTAAAAACTGTAGTGTAAAGCACCCTTCTGGCAAGACAGTGATGGAGTGAATGATGGTGAAAGTTTTTCTTTTTCGGGCCACCCTGCCTTGGTGGGAGTCAGCCAGTGTGTTAATACTAAAAAAAAAAAAAATTACTTACCTTAAAATATTTTCATCCTCAGTTCATAGTGAGTGGTGAAAATATTTCTTGTTGGAGGTATGAATAAATGAAGAATAAGTATAACTGAAAACCAATGTATTAGTGAAACAATGAAGCAAAGCATTTTAAGGTGGAGCTTGCCTGTAGGTACAAAAATCCCATACCCATCCAACTCAGTCGGTCGGTCGGCCAGCCAATTAGCCAGCCAGCCAATTAGCCAGCCAGCCTATTAGCCAACCAGCCAATTAGCCAACCAGCCAATTAGCCAACCAGCCAATTAGCCAACCAGCCAATTAGCCAGCCAGCCAGCCAATTAACCAGCCAGCCAATTAGCCAGCCAGCCAATTAGCCAGCCAGCTAATTAGCCAGCCAGCCAGCCAATTAGCCAGCCAGCCTATTAGCCAACCAGCCAATTAGCCAACCAGCCAATTAGCCAACCAGCCAACCAGCCAATTAGCCAACCAGCCAATTAGCCAGCCAGCCACCAATTAACCACCAGCCAATTACCACCAGCCAATTAGCCAGCCAGCTAATTAGCCAGCCAGCAAGCCAATTAGCCACCAGCCAGCCTATTAGCCAACCAGCCAATTAGCCAACCAGCCAATTAGCCAACCAGCCAATTAGCCAACCAGCCAATTAGCCAACCAGCCAATTAGCCAACCAGCCAATTAGCCAACCAGCCAATTAGCCATCCAGCCAGCCAATTAGCCAGCCAACCAGCCAATTAGCCAGCCAGCCTATTAGCCAATCAGAAAATTAGCCAACCAGCCAATTAGCCAACCAGCCAATTAGCCAACCAGCCAATTAGCCAGCCAGCCAATTAGCCAGCCAGCAAGCCAATTAGCCAACCCCCTTACTACCTATCCCCACCAATCAGACTGCTGGAGAGTGAGGTATTCCTTAGCTTGGCTTAGTTGCAAAGGTGCACTGAATTACCACTCCAACAATGCAATGTGGGTGCACAGATTTTTTTCCTACTGCACACACTTACCACACAGACCCATTATATCACATGTACACTTATCAGCTCTCTCCTGCTCAATTTGAAGGTGCTAGAATTTATGCGTACTAGTACGTCAATAACCCTGGCGCGTAAGCCGTACTAGTATGTCGGAAACCCTGAAAGGGTTAACGAAAAATGAGGCTCTGAATTAAAAAATTTATCAGATACATTTAAAAATCTTGTCAATATTTTCCACACATCTTACATTGGATTGACGGTGATCTGATCAAAGCACAGTTTTCTCTGGAGCTCTGCTATCATGAATTCAAGCTTCTCTATGGCTGCTACAACTTCCTCTGGGGGTCCTTCCAGCTTAATGCTTCCCTGCTGGCCTTGAAACTCTACATGTACCTGTAGACAAGTAGTTTATACTTATAATTGACTGCAACTATAAATATTACTCTAATGCAAAGGTTACACTTTACTATTATCATACTCTTAGTACTTCAACAACAACAAAAAAGTTCAAGCAATATAGTGACAATTAACCCTTTGACTGTTTCGGTCATATATATACGTCTTACGAGCCACTGTGTTTGACGTATACTCATAAATTCTAGCGGCTTCAAATCAAGCAGGAGAAAGCTGGTAGGCCCACATGTCAGAGAAAGGGTCTGTGTGGTTAGTGTGCACCATATAAAAAAAATCCTGCAGCACCCAGTGCATAATGAGAAAAAAAAAAATCCTGACCATTTTTTTTAATTAAAATGCCGACTTTGTGGTCTATTTTCATGTAGTATTTATGATTGTATTCTCATTTTCTTGGTCTCATTTGATAGAATATTAAACATATTAAAGAAATAGAGGCAATTTTGATTGGTTTTACTATGAAAGAACCTTGAAATGGAGCTCAAAGTAGGGGAAATGTTCAATTTTTGCCAATGTTCAAAAGTAAACAAATGATTTCATTTTCCAATAAATGTCCAACTAGCCATTCTAATATGCAGTCATGAATGGGTTGACATTATTTATACAATTATTACAATATTGCAGTAGTCTGCATAACAGTAAATCTTCTATTTTTTGTTTGAATAAAAATTCAAAACAGAAAGCAAGAATAATATCAGAGGGGCCTGGAGACATAACTGATGAACAAAGAAAATGTTATTTTAGAGCCAGGAATGTTTGCATTGCTCATTCTGGACCCTATTTTGAAATTGTCGCTTTTAATTTTCGTGAAATTGGCCAAATTGCAAATATCTGACCATGCTACTGGGTAGTTGAAATTGGTAAATGGGCAGCTTCTTGTACTCAATCGATAGAAAAAATGGAGTTCTAAAGAAATAGCTATGAGTTTGGTCGACTGGAACAATCGGAATTAGCCGAAAATAGGGCTCAAATTGGGTGAAATTGCAGATTCGTAAATATCGCCGAGGTCACTACTTCGCGAGAGCATAATTCTGTCAGTTTTCCATCAATTTTTGTGTCATTACAATCGAGAAAAGATTCTCTATCATTTCATAAGAATTTTTTTTTTTTTTCGGAAATTTTGCGACACGTGGAGACACCTCAGGATTTGGGGTTGCGACAGTCAAGGGGTTAAGACAACCCTAATCCTAGTAATCAGTAGAGAAACTGTTATCAACACTGAACAATTTTGTATCAAATCTTTGTAAATACTAAAATATGCACAACATAAGTGAAGCCTTATTGTAAATTTGTAATCACTGCTTATTCATACAATAGTTTTAGAGAAAGAGTCATTACCCACTGAGGGTCCAAGTCGTAGTTCTGCATCATGAGCTCAGCTCACTAAGGTAAGCTGTGAGTGGTAAATTTGGGCCTAGATACGAGAGAATGCATCTATGTAGTAAGTGTGCACCATATAAAACAAATCCTGCAGCATGCAATGCATAATAGGAAAAATAATCAGACTGTGTTTTTGGATTAACCCCTTCAGGGTCCAAGGCCAAAATCTGAAGTGGTGCCCCAGTGTCCAAGAATTTTCAAAAAAAAATTTTTTTATTTTTTCTTATGAAATGGTAGAGAATCTTTTTGTGAAGGTAATAAAACAAAAAGTACGAAATTTGATGGAAAATTGATGAAATTATGCTCTCGCGAATTTTGATGTGTCAGCGATATTTACGAATCGGCGATTTTGCCGACTTTGACTCCCATTTTAGGCCAATTACATTATTCCAGTCAACCAAATTCTTAGCTATTTCACTAGTATTACTTCTATTCTATCGATTGAGCACAAGAAATCGCCAAGTCAACTGTTTCAACTACAAATTAAAGTGATCGGAAATTGTTAATTTGGCCAATTTAACACAAAGTTCAAAATAGGGTCCAGAATAAACAATGTAGGTATTCCTGGAACTAAACTAACATTTCCTCTGTTCATTAGTTATGTTTTGAGGCTTTACAAATAAATTCCATTTTGATTTTTTATTCACATAATGAATTTTTATTCACACCAAAAAATAGAAGATTTACTGTTATGCAATACTGTAATAATTGTATAAATATCATCACCATATTTGTGAATGCATATTAGACCCACCAGCTGGCGTGTATTAGACGGGTGAGGCCGTTTGTTTACTCTTGAATATCGGCAAAAATTTAACATTTCTGCTACTTTGAGCTCAGTTTCAAGCCATTTCCAGTGCTAAAACCAATCAAAATCATCTCTATTTCTGTAATATGTCTTCCATTCTATCAAATGAGACCAAGAAATCGCAAATACAACTATAAAAAACATACGAAAAAACACTGCAAAGTCGCTGTTTTAATCGAAAAAACATGATTTCAGTTTTTTTTCTCATTATACACAGTGTGCTGCAGGATCTGCTTTATGTGGTGCACACATACCACATAGATGTATTCTCTCATATCTAGGCCCAAATGTACCACTCACAGTTTATCAGAGTGAGCTGAGCTCATGATGTAGATCTACGGTTTGGACCCTGAACGTAAAGCCGTAGATCTACGGGACAGATCCTGAAAGGGTTAAAACACCGACTATCTGCCGTGTATTTTTGTGTGGCTTTTGCAGTTATATTCACTGTTTCTTGGTCTCATTTGATAGAATGGAAGATATACAGTGGACCCTCGGTTACCGGCTGCAATCCGTTCCAGAAGCTTTGCCTAAAACCAAAGTGGCCAAAAACTGAAATAATATTTCTCACAAGAATTTAATTAATTAATTAATTAAATGGTATTTGGGACCTGACGATCTGTTGGAGTGTGAGCAGGGTAATATTTAGTGAAGGGATTCAGGGAAACCGGCTATTTTTATATAGCCGGACTTGAGTCCTGGAAATGGGAAGTACAATGCCTGCACTCTAAAGGAGGGGTTTCGGGATATTAGCAGTTTGGAGGGATATGTTGTGTATCTTTATACGTATATGCTTCTAAACTGTTGTGTTCTGAGCACCTCTGCAAAAACAGTGATTATGTGTGAGATGAAAGTGTTGAATGATGATGAAAGTATTTTCTTTTTGGGGATTTTCTTTCTTTTTTGGGTCACCCTGCCTCGGTGGGAGACGGCCGACTTGTTAAAAAAAAAAAAAAATTAATTTGTTCCAGACACCCAAAAATAATCACAAAAAATAATTTTTTTAAAGATTAACTATAGTTTTACATACACAAAACAATGAGAACTAAATAAAATAAATACACCTACCCTCCGAACTTACAACCTGCTCGACATACGACCATTCGACTTACGACTTTGTTTTCTATGCCAAATTTCTGGGAATTAAACAACTGTTTGTGCTGTATACAGTGTTTGTCCTAAACCTTACAGTATAAAATACAGTACTAACAGCATAAAAAGTAAAGTAAAAAATGAATTACCAAAATAAAACAATAAAATAAAGTCATTACAAAAATGTCAGGTTGATATTCAGTAGTTAAGTTCGACTTACGTCCATTTCGACTTACGACCGGTTTCTCGGAACCGAACTCGGTTGTAAGTCGGATGGTACCTGTACATGAACAATTAAATCAATATTACATATCTTTATTGAAGACTCTTCTTGGCTTATGGAAGACAAGGAGGAGGAGAGAGGCTTGAGTGTCACTTTACCCCTGTAACTCACTCCAATTTGCACACTTGTTCTTAATCACTGAAGAAGGCACATTCTCCCCTCTCTCTTCCTCCTCCTCTGTAGCAATTTCCTTAGCTGTAGTCTGTTGCTGCTCCAGATGAAGGTTTTGCAGCTCTACCCTCTACCACCATCACTACCATCCTCTACCACCATCACTACCACCCTCTACCCCATCACTACCACCCTCTAGCATCATCACTACTACCCTCTACCACCATCACAACCAATACCACCATCACTACCACCCTCACAACCCTACACCCTCTACCACAATCACTACATACCTTTACCACCATCAACTACCCCCCTCCATCACCATCACTACCACACCTCTACCACCATCACAACCATTGCCACCATCACACCATTACCACCCTCTACCATCACTACCACCATCACAACCACTACCACCCCTACCACCATCAAAACCACTACCACCATCACTACCACCCTCTCCCACCATCACAACCACTGCCACCATCACTACCACCCTCTCCCACCATCACATCCACTACCACCCTCTACCACCATCACAACCACTACCACTCTCTACCACCATCACAACTACTACCACCCTCTACCACCATAAATAACAAAAAAAGGCACAATACCGTGACTGGAACGACACACAAATAACCTGCAAAGTCACACTTTGTGTTATGGTCATGTGTTCTGTTGAGGTTGGTAAAGAGAAGTTTGAGGGGAGGGTTTATATCTAAGTTAAGTGTTCTATGAATGTAGTAGGCACAACAATAAGTATGGATGTTTTGTATGGTGAGTAAGTTTAGAGTTCTGAATATTGGTGGAGTATGCTGCCTGTAGTGGGAATTTGTTATCATTCTGACTGCAGCCTTTTGTTGGGTAATTAATGGTCTTAGATGATGATGATGATGTTGAGCCCCATGCACAAATTCCATAGGTGAGATAGGGGTAAATGAGTGAGTGATATAGGGCCAGGAGGGCTGACTGTGGAACATAGTACAGTATCTTCAACAGTATGCCTATGGTCTTGGAGATTTTCTTAGAAATTTGTTGTACATGTGTTTGAAATTTGAGACTATTATCAAGGTGGATTCCTAAGAATTTTCCCTCTGTTAGCTTTGTGATAGGTGATCCATTTATCATTATGTTAAGAGGAACATCTGTAGTTCTGTTCTCAAATTGAATGTAGTAGGTTTTGTCAATATTGAGAATAAGTTTGTTAATCATCATCCAGGAAGATATTTTCTGTAATTCGGTATTTACAGTATTAGCTAGTATGACTGGGCTTGGGTGAGAGAAGACTTATGTAGTGTCATC